GGACAAAGGGGAGACAAGAAGTGTGCAGCTTGGAAGAAGGACTTCGACAAGGATGCTGTTTATCACCAATTCTGTTCAACTTGTACAGCGAATGTCTTACCAAAGAAGCTCTAGATGGGCTCGGAGACTTCAAATTAGGAGGCCAAATTATTCANAATTGGACTTAAATTTGAGGAAGAAACTAGTGAAATGCTACATTTGGAGCATAGCTCTGTATGGGGCTGAAACATGGACACTTAGGGCAGTAGATCAGAAACATCTGGAAAGTTTTGAAATGTGGTGTTGGAGAAGGATGGAGAAGATCAGTTGGACCGATTATGTGAGAAATGAAGAAGTGTTAATTAGAGTCAGTGAGCAGAGGAATATCCTACATGAAATAAGAAAATGGAAGGCTAATTGAATTGGTCATGTTTTACGCAGAAACTGCCTTCTAGAAGAAGTTATTGAAGGAAAGATAGAGGGGCGGATAGAAGTGACAAGAAGACGAGGAAGAAGATGTAAGAAGATGCTGGATGACCTTGGTGACAGAAGAGGATACTGTCACTTGAAGGAGCAAGCTCTAGATTGCATTAAGTGGAGGAATTGTTTTGGAAGAGACTCTGGACCTGTCGTCTGACAGATTACTGATGTTGATGATGAGATAATTAACTAATTAACTTTTTCATAATGCAATTCCCACTGGGACAAGACAAGAACAGAAAATATTATGGATGTATACTTTTTCCTTATGATTACTGCTCTTTTCATTTTCATGTTTATCACATTTATAAATCACCAACATAAAATTTCCAAAATGTACAACTGTGTGCATAAAGAATGGGAAATAAGAAGTGCTTCAGTTAATTAATGGGTCTAATAAGATCAGTTCTCAGGCATCTTTATATTACTGTTATAAACTGCATGCTTTGATTTAGTCTCTGCATCAGCATCCTCATAGGTGCATATTTTTAAATGCAGTACAGTCAAAACAAAGCACACTAACATTATGAATATTTTATGAACAACAGGGTAAGGTACACTCTGGCTGCCACCTAAAAAGCTTCAGTCACTTTGGCACTTTGATGATGTATTATAATTTGGCACTTTGAAGACATGTTATGAAACCAATTTGATCCCGCTAACTATCTAAGTTTTATTTTTCATAACATTTCTATGCCAAATTCCAATTCAAGCATGACATACAACAATTAGATGCACATCTGCAAAGTGTCACATCATTGTGAAAGGTTTATTCAGTACATGCAGAATAACCAAAATTATACTGCATCGTTGTTTCCACGTGATCACTAACTAGCATGCTACACTGCGTGCATGTGGGCACTAATTCTGTTCTTAGTCAGTTTACATGCCGATTATTTTTTTATGCCAGGATCTAACTTATTCACTTCAATGAGCCTAACACTAAGCTTGATCTGGCTTTTTTTCTTAATTAAATTGGTCTTAGCTGGACAGAATACCACTGCTTATGTGTGTTGTGTACAATTAGGCTTTATAATGGGTATAGAAAACTGTGGTGGTACTCTGCAGAATACGAGTATTTACCACCACATGTTCTAGCTAACCTTCTCTTATCTATCTACCCATTCAACCATCTATATAACTAGATGTAAAACCTTTGTGCCAACACTGCAAAGATAATTTACAAAAACGAAAAATGTGTATTTTTGCTTAAAGCATCAAGCTATTATGACTATTGCATCAGGATTCTTTTGGTACTTTAGGTAAACTAATTACATCAGGATAATTTCATCTTGCGTATTGATGACTGAGTCTCGCAATGGTCATGTTACGTACACAATAACCTATGCATTCTCAGATTTTTTGATACTGGAATCCTTTACAACTACGCACAATTTGACATGAAAACCATGATGTATGGTGACAGCATGAATCTAAATAGCCTTATAACTTTTCCCACGATGTACGGTGACTGCAGGAAACCTCCCCCCAAAAGAAAAGCCATGAAGTGATTTGCCGACTGCAGGTACATATTCCGAAAGCATGTGTATTAAAATACTGCAGATTGTCAAATTGTCAGTGGTTACAATTCTATTTTAAATAATTCCTGAGAACATGCGACCCACGGTTTGAAAACCAAACCTCTGTCTTCTTCTGTAACCCTTTAACTTACTTCAATCTGTGTCACATATTTAGAAACAGCTGAATTAAACAAGGTGCAGAAATATTCAAGCACAGCATCACGAGCTGCTGGTAATGTCTTAAGAACAGAAAGCGCAGTGCGAGCAAGTTCTAGAGGATTTGTCTTCACACGTCGGGTTGCACCAGCAACAAACGTTCTCAAGTCACGCATCAAATCTTGGGGCGGCACGGCTTTTATCACGCCTGTTCCCGACATTTCCTCAGTTCAATACAATGTTAGGTTAAGGCTCCTTCTGTACAAGTTCTACAGTCACAATTACAGCACTCAAAACTACTGAACAGTACGCTGTAGCGCTACCGATTACATTACGAATACGCGATCGCAGTTATAACATAGCAGCCACACGCAGTAACATTTTCCTACCAAATAACGCAGATTTATCCTTCACCTAATGCTACACTCTGCTCCAACGGTTCCAACCACCTCGGCACCACAACCGAAGCTCAATTACATACTGGTTCAATTCCTAGTAGTCCTCTTTCTGCTGAGCATTTTTGACTGGAGGAACAAATGGAATTGTCCATTTCCTATGTTTCTAGCAATAACCTTGGGGTGCAGACAACTCAGCCGTAGAGGACAACAATGTCATATTAATGTGGGCAATTTTAATGTTTAAAAATTGATAATGGGCGCGGTATGATCCAATTAGGTCCACGGAGATTGTTGAGAGTATGATATTATAAGTACTTACGCACTAAAAGAAGGTAAACAACTGAAAATTAGATGTTAATAAAGTTCATTCATTATTTAATCTTTTATAGTGTGCTTATGAGGATTGAGAAGCCCGTTATTTTACAAATTTAACATTTTATTAAAATACATTATTTCTTTTATTTTGCTTCTAAGTTACAGCACGCCGTTTATTTCACAGTTACAATATGTTAGCATTGGCATGCGTTAAAACTCAAGGTGAAGAAGTGATAAGGTAAACTTGGTTCTGTATTTAGCTAAGCACCATTGCATGAGGATATTTGGAGGTGTGGACTGTATGTCAGCATTGGCATGAAATAAAACTCAAAATTAAATTGTAGTAAGATAAACTTGGTCCTTTATTTAGCTAAGCACCACTGCATGAGGACATGTGGAGGTGTTGAGATACAGCTCAAAGCATTCCTACCCTTGGCACTCGATGAAAGTTTGTGGTCACTTTATGCATCATATACTTTCCCCAGGGGACGAAATATCAGTTTCCATTGATAGGTTTATTGTTTATTGTTATTAAATAACTCCACAAATCCTGTACAGGGGCTTTAGCACCCATAGGATATAGAGCTAGTCAAACTTATACAATCTCATACAAAACATAAAAAGATAATATAACATTAAATCAAGTTGAATAGGTTGAATAGGTTACAGGGCAGCTGGATATGATAGTGAAGAGAAATATTTCCACCCCTGCTGGGAATTGAATCCCAGTTACCCAGCTTGTAGCCAGTCATTTAGTGGCTCAGCAGTCCTAGCTTACCCAGGAATTTGATCTCAAATAATTCAGAACAGTATTAACATGGCTTAATTCCAGATTTACTGTTGTGGTTTGCAATGTATGATGCATTCACTTATTTCTGTTTTATATTTGAACAAATGGTACAGAAGGTTAATAGAAAGATGGTTCAGTAATGACTTAAGATTTTCAGAATATATGTGTACACACATTTAAATGCTTCAAAACAGCTCAGTAGCATGTGATTAAATTGAGCATATATGTTGTTATCAGAAAATATGCTTCACTTTCAGAATACATTTGAAATTGAGACACTGTGTGTGTTTTTATTGGAATTATTTTTACATTTGAGCAATGCCTTTCATATTTCAAGACATTAATATCACATCTTTTTTAACACTACTAATAAATCATTCTGTTATACCACTGCAGGAAATGTATTTTGTTCTAATATAACATTAAATAATAAAAATAAACTTCAAGACATTTCCTAATTAAAAATGCTAAGATCTCATCTAAATTACTGTGATAATGTAAATACAGCTATAAATGGCATAACTTACTGAAACTAATTTGATTAACAGAGATCCTGGATTCTTATTGCAGGGGCTATGAAGATTACAGTCTTCTGGGTTTTGACATCATGTAGTTTGTAGAAGTTTAGTGGATTTTCAGAGGAATGTGCTGTCTCCAACCTGTAAAGTTGAGTATCACATTTGTCTGAAATTTCAGTAAACTTGTACCAGAATGTTTGGTGTCACAGCCCAGAAGACTGTAAACTTGGTTGGTAAAAAGTCATGAGTTTTATGTTTTGTCATCAGTCTATAAGACTGTCAGATACTTCTTTCTTGTATAATTTAGAAGGACATTAGTACATTTTGTCTTTCATATTGTATGGCTGGATATTGACACATCCATGGATCCTCATAAGCAGAATGGGAAACAAATTAAATGTACTCAGACTGTTCTTCTGGGTTGTGACATCATGTAGTCTTGTCACAGTCTGAACAATCATTCCTGAGAGAACCTCACAGCTTCTGTAAGTTAAGAGTACAGTGAAATTTCTCCAAGAAGACAGCTGAGCATTCTGTCCATAAATGGTCTTTTATAGGTATGGTCTTTAAATATGGAGTGAATGTGTGGGTAGTATTATACAGTAAACACCATGCATATGTATGACTTAATTATATTGCACAAATATATTGCCCTTAAAATTATCTGAGATGAATAGCCAGTGTAATAGGTAATATTTGTCAAGTGTTAATAATTAAATAAAACATACATAGATATGTACATATGTACTATTCACATTAGACTGCTGGTCTGTTGGCTTTGAAAATGAATATAATGTAATTGAGTTAGAGTTTTAAATTTGTTTTTTACAACTATGTTCCCATGTTTATCCTGCAGCTTGTTAAATGAAGGTGTTAAGTTAGGTATGTAGTCTGCGCTGGTGAGCCCAAAGACTTGAGATGGGAATTTCTGCTGTGACATGATCTTTTAGAGGACCTTGGTAAAGAACAGGCATAACCATTGGTCAGGGATAGGCTTGGTTCCCAAGTAGGAGGTTGCATTACATTAAAATGGCCTAGAACGCAATTCATGCTACACAGATATGGTTTTTTCAGAAGTTTCACTGTACTGTGCATGATTTTCACTTCCAAAATAATGTGCCCATTTTACATGAATGCATTTTTAATGTAGCTCTTGTACAGTAATTTTACATGGTGAATTTTTTCTTCTTTGTTTAGTCATTTGTTTACTATATTGCCAGTATATGTGTATTTGTTAGGATCAATAATTTTTGGTCAGGAGCATGTTTCATTGAAAATAAAGAACTAAAATATCTCAAGCATTTACATTTTACCATACTGCTTTGCACTGTTAGAATTGTCATTCTGAATTGAAATCATCTACTTAACGCAAATTGATATACTTAAGAATGTTCATAATGTTATATTTTAGCATCCTGTTGCACTGATTTTCATCCATGATATGTATACAGTGGCTGTCTTGTAGTGCACTCAATTTCACCTGTCACTTCACAACATNTTCTGTGTAAACCTTATCTTGTGATGTGTGTTCCCTTCTTAGCTGTGAGTGTTGTAGCTAAGAAGGGAACACACATCACAAGATGCGGTTTACACAGAAAATAAGAAAAACGACCCCGTAATGAATGAACCACATGCAAGTTTTAATTAAGACAAATAAGATGAATTATCTTAACAAGTTTTAGTGAGTGTAAATTTATCATAGTTGACAAATACGGACTTTTTAAATACTTTTTAAATGGTGTTGTGAAAACATATGAGGGCAAGCAACGCAATAGATTGACGTAATTGGGACACCTGATGATGGCACTATGTTGCCGAAACATGTGAAGTGACAGGTGAAATTGAGTGCACTACAAGACGGCCACTCTATACATATCATGGATTAAGAATGTTGTTTTCAAGCTGTGTGCAGTTGTACATGCGACCTATGATTCCAGTATATGAAGAATGGAGAAAACGTTTCTGTGTTTGTTTTGTTTCTCCAAGATTTACAGTCCCCATGATAATCCACCCTCAGGATAATCTTATGGTATCATATTCATTTCAGTCTCTTCTAACAAATGAAATAAAATTTTCATATCTTGAGATGAATATTTGAAAGGGAAGTGTAGCGTTGAGTTATTACAATGCCAGTAACTTATTTCTAATATTCTCCTATTGGTGATGCTGAGTAAGTTACTTCACAAAAGAAAGGAGGAGCAATTGACTTAGATTTTTCATTTTCTTACTCTTCAACATTTGTTATGAGAGTATTCAAGGCAATTTCTGTCTAATGGGACAAGATATATAAAAACATGAATGACATTAACATCATTAGATAGCAGTACATATAACATAGAGAGTGATAAAGCATGATGAGATGCTTTTGAGGCCAAGCATACCAAAAATAACTATAATTTTACAAAATGGTGACATCTTCTTTAAGTTTGTTAGTTAACAATGCTGTCAGAATTGAGTTTATAGCATCAATGATGGGATGATTAATGAATGTGGAGCAGTTGGTGGAATGAGAATCAGAAGGAGAAACTGAAGTGCTCAAAGAAAACCCACCGCAATGCCACTTATACAAACTGACCTGAGATCTAATAACCCAGGTTGAAGTGGTGGGTAGCTGGCAAATAGCTGCCTGAGCTATAACATGACCCCACAGTGACTAGTTGCTGATGTCTGTGTGACTACCATGATATTTTGGCAAACATATGTTATTCATATCAGTACTTTTATTAAGGAAATTAAATGACCAATATTTTTGCCCAAATTTAGAAATCTTTTCTCCAGTAGATTCTAATTTGTGGAGAGGTTAGATTTGTTTCATTTATATTGAGAACAGTAAACCGCAAAGTAGGCAGAATGTCTGGTTAGAGGTGATATCATGTGGGTGCACAATATGAGAGACACAAATTTATGTAAAAGTTTTCACAAATAATGTGTATATTCTAGAGACTAAAAAAAACAATACATTGAATTATGTAAAATTAAAAAATAATATTAGCATTTCTTAGGACAAAGTAAGTCTTAAGAGGAGCATAGTATGCTGCAACAACTCATATAAGCATATCATTCTTTAAAGTTAGTTTGTAACGAGTAACCTTTTGTTTTTTCTTATTCTTCTGTTAGGTTTGATTTATGGTCTGGGTAAGCTGCCATCTTCTGTTCCTCAATACAGGAATTATAGTATACGATTGCCCGTTAAGTATGGTAGTTTCTTCCCCATCACTGTTTCTACTCACCAATCAATACTCAGGCCTTGGAAATGGCTTATGATAATTGGTCAATTTCTAATGCTCTTTTTATTTCTTTTAAGTTAGCAGAGAGTCAGTGTTCAGAAAGAATTGTAAAGATGTAATTGGTTATGTAAATATAGATGCAGATGACCTAAGGTTATCATAATCTGGATGTGATAGAGTAGTTGCGCTGTTGTTGAGCTTTAAGACTGTAATGACTTGTTTGTGTGACAAGCCATTAAATTGTCACTCCTATTGCACATGCTCAAAGATGCAAGTTTCTCAAGGATTTAAAATCAAGCATCTTTAATGATGAAAGTAGAATTTTGTAACAAAAACCTCAAAGAAATTGATATATAAGTTCTAGAAGTATGGCTCTTCCTGCTGCAATTTCCATTTCCAAGATTCTTCTGTTTGTGGCTAGCATTTTTAAAAGACTGCAAGAAAATGTTTTCGCCATAAGTGAGAACTTGTTGAAAGCATTGGGTTGCAATGTGGTCATGAAGCATGTAAGTATAACAAGATACTTTGTGTAACTGCATAGCATAACTTACCTATCACACAGACTAACAAAGTGCCCTTTAATGTATGAGTGACATAAGTAGAAGGACCCCCTATCCTGGATGGTATTTTGTAACTGTATCTTAGATAAGGATGCTTTCTCAACTGAATAGGTTATATAGCATGAAAAGATAAGATGACTGAATGGAAAATTATGTGCAAAGGTGGTTTGGGCTTATTGTAATGTGCTATCCTAGCATATGTCTGGAAGCACTAAGGCTAATCACAAAAAAAGAAACTTATGACAGGATAGTTAACTTCTGGATCAAGAATTGAATCCACATTCCCAAACAAAGTGGAAGCGATGCTCATCCACTGCCCGAAATATACACAATGTGATAATTAAGTTCCTGAACTGAAGCCTTAAAAACCACACAAGAAAGATAAAAATTATTTGCTAATACTATTACTGAATACAGTCCCTGCCCACTTCCACACAATGTTTACATCACTCATACAATGAATTGAATGCCAGAGAAAATGCTTCTTCTTGTATTGCCTTCAGTTCTTTCACCCCGGTCTGTTAGATAGATGAAACCATCTCGAATCATGTTCCTTTTCATCCCGATTTATAATTTAGGAAGTAAAGAAAGTCAGCTGATGCCAAGTCAGGGGAGTAGGATGGATGGGATAACAAGAGGATCCCGCGTTTCACCAAAAACTCAGAGACAATGCCCAAATAATGCACCAGTACATTGTCGTGCAAAAGATGCCAGGACCCACTTTCCTGAAACTCAGGCCTAATGCTATGAACTCAAGTGATCAATCTCTTAATCATTTCTTTATAAAATGTACTGTTTACAGGCTGTTTTCTCGGCACAAATTCATGATGAATGATACCTTTGACATAAAAAAATTGCCGATAACTTTGTTTTCACCAGCGATTTTTGCATTCTTACTTTCTTAGCTTTGAACCTTTGATGCCATTCAAACACATTTTTTTTCAATAAGCATTCTTCACCATATTCACTTCTCAACATTTCAGATGTTTCAGTAGCTGTTTTCTTTAATTTTACACAAAACTTCAACATGACAAAAAACAAACCTCACCAAAAAAATGAACTTGAGACCTTTTGTGTAAATGATTAGTTCCGTACAACTAGATCAGCAATTCCTTGCCCTATTTTGATCATTCAAATTTAATTTGAAAAGCTTAAGTAAGGTAGTGGCTGTTGTGTTTATTAGTTTAGTAAAGTTTCTGGTAACATAACCTGGATCATACTGTCTTAAATCATAGGTTTTCAGTACCTGTGGCCAAGGTATTCAACATACTTTAGTCACTAATGTGTAATTAAAAAATCTAAGCATGTATCTGTCTGGTAATATGGAAATTCATGATGAAAATAATGTAGATCCAGCTAGGTCTTGAACCTGACCTTTGATCTAAATGGGAAATGCCAATGTTACCAGACTAACAGTTTTCCTTCAAATTTTTATTATTTAAATTCAATTTTTAGGGTTGAAATTATGTGTATATCTATTTTTTGTCTTTAGTTTAGTTTGAAGTTTATGATAAGAGAAGAATTTAGAGTTGAAAACCCATTGCAAACAGCCAGTTAGGAAGAATATTATCTTCTGTGATGGGACACCATGTAGTCTGGTAGAAGTTATGAGATAATTTGGAGGAATGTACTGCCTAGATCTTCAAAATTAAAAAATTTCGGTAAACTTCTATGAACCTACATGGTATCACGCTCCAGATGATAGTATTTCTCATAGTTAATGCTGAAAGAACCGCCGATCTCATGAAGATAATTCATTTGACACAAAAATTAACTTTGGTCATTTGAATATCTTTTAACTGTCAGATGTCCTGGTGTTAATAAGCCTAGAAGTGCATCACTGAACTAACTAACTAACTAACCAACCAACCAACCAACTCTATGGAGCCAGGTCCTTCTTGAGAAGGCAACAGTTGCTTAGCCACTCAAGAAATTCTCAGCATTTTATGGAGTTTTTGTCCATCTCATCTCATCCTCCTTGAATTGATCATTGTATTTATATAAGGTGAAGAATACAAGCTTGAAGCTTCTCATGTGTTTTTCACCAGCTTCCTATTATTTCATCCCCTTTGTGTCAAATATTCTCCTCAGCATCCTGTTCTCAAACACCCTCAGTTTAAGTTCATCACTGTAGCAACAGAAAACCTATTATCTGTAATTTGTACCTTCTGAAAATGAATCTAAATATTTGCAGTGAGGGGCATGCTGGCCTCTGAGCTAAGTTTTTCATACATGAATCTCCTGACTAGAAAATAGTAATGCTATTCCCTATAGTGATATTCAGAGATTTTGTCTCTTATATGCACCTGTGTAGAAGCTTTACAAGTCACATGTCATCTGTCTGTCTTCATAACTCTTATGGCCCTCTGCATCCTAAATTAAAGATTACTTGATTGTAATGTTTGTTTCTTAGTTTACTTGATGGCACAATAAGAGGATGTATCTGAAGATGAATGATGAATGATAAATGATGGGAAATGAGGTGATAATTTTTTTTATCATTTGCTTGAAGTGACTGAGGTGGACAAGGAAAAGCCAATTAAGTTGGCTGACTAGATGGGTGAGAATAAGAGCAAGGTCCCTTGAATACAAAGTTGTGTTAATCTCTCAACTATACAGATCGTTTGCAAATGATAACTTTTATTCAGACTGTTTAATTAAAGCTGATGTGATACACTTTTAGATGCATGGTCTACAATGTTATTTGATACTGAAACAAGATTTAATGTTACACTTGCCAGTCTTTTTTTTTTCTTGTCTTTGCTAACTCCTTTATTTGTATAAACTTACTGAACCATGTGTCTGTCTAAGGAGTGTCAGATAACCTGAGTGCTGAGTGTTCCAGTAACAGCCAAGTTTATAAACTTCAGTTGTATGACTGCCAGTTTCCTACCTTGTAGAGTTCATATATGTTGAAGTGCAAGTTGTAGACATATGCAGATTGTTTTTATTTCAAAACAAAGGTATGTGTTTATTTTTCAGAATCCTTGGTAAGAATTTTTAGCAGAATGTTATAGAACACAGTTATTCTACTTTTGTTATTTGTGTATCAGCTATGTTGCTTTTATAGCATTAACCATGTCATTTAAATTGCTGTACTCTGATTCGGCTGGGCTAGTTAATGTAAGTTTTCTATGGATACCACAATGTGGTACTTTAAGAGCAACAGACAACATGTAATTTCACTATGTGCTACTGTTTAAGGCTAATTACTTAATCTGGATTTAAAAATGGATTATATCAAAATCCACGAAAACTGTAAGTGTAACAAGTTTTTGGTAAAAGTAATTCTTAATCTGTATTCTATATTTGCCTATCTTGAAACCTTTCATACTGAATTGTTAGTAAATACTATGTAGCTTAATCTTGTAAACAAATATAATAAAGAGTAACGTTAAAAAGAAATGTTATATGGTTTTGTGTATCCTGCATACACCATTAAGAGTGAGAAGAAAAGCACCAGAAAATTGTTCTAAAAACTTCAACAAAATATACTGAAATAATTTTAGTGACTAAAAATATACTGAATAAAAGAAAATGACACTGCATAACAAACTCCAATTCTTGATAAATGCAAAGGCCAGCCAGAACAATAAAATATAGAACATTGTTAGAATGAACCAAAAATAAAGATCTTGACTTGCTTCTCTTTTCACTGAAGACATAACATGCAACAATATAGGAACTGTTGGAAGTGAGTTTTTTATGTGGTCTGTGCCAAGGCTATATGACAAGGACTGAAACCGAATGTTGGTTGGTTGTGAGTAGTACTCATAATCGGTGGTTATCTGTGAACACAGATGTAGAGGTATCTCCACTGTTAGAAGCCACTACCTAGCAATGATTAGTGAAGACATAACAAACTGAGAAGACTTAGTGTGTGCTGTGGTGATTTTTGAGTATGTATGTTAGTGACAGTGTTATAATCTTTTCTAGTATAAGTGTTTAATAAATCGAATCAGCAATCCAAACACTGTGTCTGTTCACTAACACATGACTTTTTTCATCAACACCTATAAGACAATTCATAAGAAAGTGACATCTACAGGACCCCACTGGTATATATATGTTTTGAAATTTATTTACTGCAATATCTGACATTAAACATACTTATGTCTGGTAAAAATTATTTTTAATGTCTGAATGTTGTAAGTTTATAAAATTACAAGAGGATCTTACATGGATATGGACTGGGAAATGACTTTTACAAAATACTTGTTACACATATTTCCTAGTGGCTTTATGTGTGATTCTTTATGTGACCTGTACTGGATGATGGTCATATGTCCAGAAGGTGTTGTGGTAGTGGTAGTAGTAGTGGCATTATAAAAATCAAGTCTGTGAGACAGTTACAGAGACCTGTGTTAAGTAGAGCATATCTACTACATTTAGCTGTTTGATTTCCTGTTTTCATTAGCCAAATAACAAGCAAGTGAGATGATACAGAAGGAGTTTGTAAATTTTGAGGGACTGCTCATGTATTGATACAAAGATCTGGTAATTCTAGTTAAGAAATTTCATGGAATGTTGTAATTGTACATCTACTACAGGGTTCAAAACCTTTTACAGCTATTCAGCAAGATGGTTTCACGAAAACAAAGTACAACTTCTGTTGGGCCTGTACTGGGATTTGTTGGAAATTCACCAGGAATGGTACCAGACCAAATTCGTGTTTTGACCCTTAATGATGGAGAACATCAAGATTCTACATTATATCGCCTACAGAAAGGTTGGTAGGAGTCTTGAGTTAATGTCTGTTGGTAGAATTAAATCAATGGATCTTTGCCTTGTGTTGCTGCATGTACCATAAGTGTTTGAATAGAAGCCCACTATTTACAATTTCTAAGCTAATATCTGGAAATAATTTAAGTTCATGCCACTCTTACATGTTCAGTGGAACCACTGTTTAATGTTCCTTAGTTTGAGGTTTCCTGTCATTTGATCTCCAGTTTCGTTGATCCAGAGTGAATAATCAGTATAAAATTTCCTCAATTTAAGATTTTCATCAGTTTTACGTTCAAATCTGGCACTCACTAAAGAAACCTTAAATGGAAGTTCCGCTGTTTTTTATCATTTTGAGGTTTGACAATTTGATGTACAAAGTGCATTTGTGTTGGAACATTTTTCATGTGTAATAGAAATATCACTGCATAACTTAATTATTTGTGTATGGAATTTTGAGAATTTTCAGATTATTAGTTGAAGATGATATATTCATATTTCTATGCTTCATAGTTTCTAAATAAAAGTACGGAAAAATATTAAAACACAGAAATAAAATTGATTTCTAGCACCTCTAAATGCTAAAAATAGCACAGGATTATTCAAAATATGTACTAAAATTTTAATGCAGGCTCATAGTGGAATCTTGTATGAAACATTATTATGGAACTGTATGTTTTTAAGTTGGTTTTTTAATGCCTCTGTCAATATCAGTGCCATATGATATCAATGACAGGACAATTAATAAATGTGGAGCAGCTGGAATAAGAAGGAACAGTGTTCTGAAAAAGCATGTGAATTTTGTTTTATACAAATTAGGGGCACAGAGAGTTTACATTCAGGAACATTGTAACTATGCTGTGTATGTATGTGTGTCTGTCCACCATTTCAAACCTGAACTTTTGATACATTGACCAATTTTCACTTAATTTTATATGGATGTCATGCCAGTGGAAGCACCAAACACTGTAGTTTTTAATTTCCTACAGTCAGGAATAACAACATGGCAGACATAAAAACTTGAGAGGTGGGAACAACATTAGTGTCACTTTATAGGGTCCTGAAATGATATATGGTAACATCTTGGAAGTATGTCCAGCTTTCATTAAGGTGCCAGTAATTTTTCTATAGAGATGAAAGGACAGTGGAATGAAATCTATAGGCCCTAATATATTGGTCATATGGTGATAATTAATGAATCATTGAAGGTAAGCATTCTAAAGTTGGTAATGAGATGGATCATAAGCATACCAACAACTTCTGTATGAAAGACTAATTTATTAGCCAACAGTTACCTTTAAGAGACGGCCATCTAAATTCCGGTAGTGGTAGCGGGACAGAGTTAATTTAAATGCCCGCCACTGTAGAGTAATAAAAATTGTAATCATGTTACTCAGAATGCTGTGATTTCTACAATTTTTGTGATAAACGAACGAAATAAACGCTGCTTTTATCTAGAAAGAATATAGAATCAGTTATTGTAATTTACCGATTTTAAAATCTCTAAAAATTTTTACACTGATGCCAACAAAAATTTTTCCCCTCAATTTCGAACGTCTGTGCACAAAAATGCATACAGTTCCTGCACAAAACATTTCTGCAGTCTGAATGCCTGCTGGTGACATCATGCTCTAACTATGGCTTGTGTTGCTACAAAGTCAGATGTTTATGCTTCGTTCATCATGCTCCAGTTCGTAGGAAACTTATGGTATCAATGAGTGTGGGCGATGTCTATTCGTTCGCAGAAACACCGACTGTTTTATCTCGTATAGCCAAACAAGAAGTAGTCTGTTTTGAAATATAGCCGAGCAGTGTCAGAACGTTCAAGGCTAGCGTTGTGTTTAGCTGTCCACCATGGCCTCGTATGTGGAAGACGCTGAAATTGAGAATCAACTTTTAAATGACACCGATTCAGACTGCTTGTACCGATGACTCTGAGAGTTGCGAGGAAGAAAGTGAATCAGAAATTGAAGTCGATGAAGAACCATCATCTTCGTCGGCAACCTGGGGACCACCACACCAGCGTGGCAAGAGGAGTGTGAATAATTATTCAGGTGGAGCTGTGGGCAAACTGTGGCAAACAGTTATAGCATCTGTCGTCGAACCTGGAAATGGACAAATAAACTATTTTTCCATCTCCTGGATCTGAACAGTTACATCCTGTTGTCACACAGAGAATTTCGTCTCGCTCTCGTGCAGAACATGCTGGAAGGAGTCCACTTCGCCCTCAGCGGCCCAGGGGTCGAACCCCTGCCGTTTCATTGGAGATACCTCGATTAGAGGAGCTCAAACCACATCACTGGCGGTTGATTTCGACGAAGAACCATCATCTTGGTCGGCAACCTGGGGACCACCACACCAGCATGGCAAGAGAAGTGTGAATAATTATTCAGGTGGAGCTGTGGGCAAACTGTGGCAAACAGTTATAGCATCTGTCGTCGAACCTGGAAATGGACAAATAAACTATTTTTCCATCTCCTGGATCTGAACAGTTACATTCTGTTGTCACAAAGAGAATTTCGTCTCGCTCTTGTGCGGAACATGCTGGAAGGGGTCCATCTCGCCATCAACGACCCAGGGGTCGAACCCCTGCCATTTTATCGGAGATATCTCGATTATATGGGCCAAATCACATCACTGGCCGACTTCCTGTACTTCGAAATTGAGGTGTCGTGTGTGCTTTTCGCGTGGGAAACGAAGAACCGTCCGGAGAAAGTGCGTGAAGTGCGACGTCGGACACTGGATTTCCGGATGTTTCCAAGATTTCCACATGAAGAAGCCAACAGTCCGTTAGAAGACGCAGGTGAGAAGAGAGTCAACTTACAAAGCTGGTGACCAAAAATCATGTAAGTAGAAAAAGAATTTATAACTTAAAATTAGATTTTAAAAGCTGGCCGCACGCGTGGACTGCGCGACGACATATGGCGTCATTCGTCCCCTTGACTTTATTTTGATGACGCCATATGGCGTCACTCGGCTCTTAAAGGTTACATGGTGACAGTGTGAAACTTTAAGGGTATATATATAAAATTTTTATTTAAGGAGTAGTTCTTATCCAAAGGATGACAATGATGATAGTGATGACAACAATAACAATAAGAACAATTACTACTACTACTACTACTACTACTACTACTACTACTACTACTACTACTACTACTACCACCACCACCACCACTACTGCTGCTACAATGATGGTGGTGGTGGTAGTGATGAGTATCAGTATCATACTTAACAATGGGAAGAAACAAAAATTTGACTTGGCTGCATTAAATCTAAATCAGCTGCACATGGGTCCAGCATGGCAGGCTGTAGATTTGTGGGATTTGAAATCTCTGATAGGAAGGTAGGCTACATTACTTAAATACATAACTCCATGTTATTGAGACTTGATACACATAATGCTAGTCAGTTCTAAATGAACTACAAATTGAGAACTTTAAAGGTATCAAAAATGTTGTTCCCATATACCAATGCAAATTTTAAAATTTACTTTAAATGGTTGAGTCTGTCATAAAGCTACAAAACATGAACTGAAGAAATTCTGTTCTTTTTTAAGTAGAACAGCTCACATACCTTTACCATTTTTAGTAACATGTGACACCTGTACCTGCAGAGGGTTTCAAAGTTGATTAGTTAGGTAATTCCCAGTCTGTAACACCATTTCACTTCCAGTAAAAATCAAATCAAGTTACAAAAACAGCTGTATTAATTTTATAAAATTGTCACTAAGGAAAGGTGACATTGCATTGTCCTTTCGCTGTTTCATGCAGATGACCTGGGACTTGTCTGTATATATAATTGTTTGGTTCAAGCTTGGAGCAGGGATTGAATAACAGTTGATTTATTTTTGGTTTACTTAATGATGCTGTCAGTTGCCAACATTATATAGTGTTGAATGGTAAGATGACAGTGAATATTGAATTGGGTAGGATATGGAAGTGGTTAGGTCCTAATTTAAAGTACTAGCCTGGTGTGTGCCTAGAGGAAATGAGGAAAACTATGAAACACTTCAGTCATTGTAGGTGGTATATGGGACAGGATTTGAACCCAAGACCTTTTGGAGATCAATCAGGAACTGAAAATGCATGACTGTGATGTTTGGTACTCACTTGCAGGCAGACTGCTTAGAAGTTTATAAGTGGCTTCAGTGCAGCAGTATACAGCAGTAGACTGATTCAGGAATCATTCATCAGGAGTTTGTTTTTGAATATGGCTACTGTAACCTGTATTTGTTTCTTCAGTTTGATTTGATGACTGCTTACTTTTACTTTGTTTTACTGAGTTGTAAGGTTATGTATTTTTTTCTCCACTTCTGCCATGTCTCTTTCTGAAATTGGCGATATTTCATGAAGGCACTTCCTTCATTTGTGTTTGTTTTCTAAGTCTTTTTTTTAATTCACTTACTGGGTGGTGGAGTCCAACTGGTTCCACTCAGCATGGCGCCAACTTATTGGCCTATTGTAGCCTGCCCTGGGTGATTATGATGATGGAGAATTTGGTGGAATGAAGAGTGGCAGGGGAACCGAAGTACTCAGAGAAAACCTGCCCCAGTGCTACTTTGTCCACCACAAATCCCACTTGACCAGACCCGGGATCGAACCTGGGCTGCCACGGTGGGAAGCCAGCGACTAACTGCTTTGGCTATGGCATGGCCTTTTCTAAGTCTTCCTCTTGTGAATACCTGTATCATGGATGTGGCCCAGTTTACATTTTTCGATTAATGGTGATGTTTCAGAACTTGATCACATCATTTTATTAGCACATACAGTATAAGTGGGAGATGCCCACAATACAAAATGAAGGGCTGAAAATATTTTATATGCACGCACAAGTTCCAGAACACAGATTTTATGCAATATAAGGAATTTTGTCTATACATGTATAGAACAGTGAATTTGTATGGAACAGATCTTTGTGTCACAGAACCTTTATAAATGGGGTTAAAGTCTAAAGGTAAAATGGTAAAAAGGTAAAGGATGTCCCAGTGCTTAACTAATAAAGCTCTGTGCCATGAAGATGCTTGGAGGATTGAATGTATACATCCACTTTTTCTTGACCTTGGCACTAATTGGAGGTGGGTGGTCAGCTTGACGCCCCAGCTGCTTTACCCCCGGGGTATAGGAAGTTGGTTTGGCCCCAGAGCCAATCTGGACAGTGCAAAGAAATAAGCTTGATCATACTGGCTGAAAATTCCAGTCTGAAGGTACTTATAACTTTTATTTGAGAATTGTATAAATATTACATTATATGACCACAGAGTTGTTGTATTTCACAAATGGAATATGTGTTTTGTGTTGAAGACTTCAAAGCATTATCACTAGGCACATACAGGGGTGCCCCAAAACACTGTCACAGAAGCTAAATAAGAGTGTAATCCAAAAAATCTTAAATATGTCTCCTTCTTCACTGTGTGACTGAAGATATGAATGAAATGTCAGGATAGCCAGCCTCTGGCCCAAGACTTGAGTGGCAGTGTTAAACTCTTGGTTAGTGAAAAGAACAGAAGATAATAAGTACAGAATTTCTATTGTGTACATATTTCAACCAATATTTCACAATATAATATTGTTACAGTATCTTGGAATTATGTTATTCAGGGTGGCAACTTCAGTTCCGTCTTGGTCCCTCATTGTTTGGCCGAAAAGTTACAGTTTATTGTAACCATCCTGAGGGAACAGAAGAAGAATTTATTAGAAAACGGTATCGACCCCTGCAGTGGGAATCTGATGAAAACGTTCATGCAGGTGATGATACATCATCATGTGCAAAAGTTGCAATCAGAAGAGCAGGATCCTTTCACTACTACTTCATATATGATGGCAGGTTAGTGTGTGGGTGTAACTGGATGAATGCTTCACTTACATCTACATATTTGTTGTGCTTGTCTGAAGTTATTATGGACTGATACTACAGTTTCACACAGCATTTGTACTACACATCACATATGAAATCAGTAATGATCAAAATTCTCAAACCCTAATTAATTCTTATAGTATTCAACAGATTTATTTCACACATACTTTAGTTGTTGCTACATTATCTTTGAGAGATATCAGAAATATTCTCTTTCTGGGGAAGACAACTATAGTGCACAGTGTTAGTTTTCATACAGCAAGCAGAATTTAGGAGGGGAGAGGAGGAAGGTTCATTGACTGCCAAAAGAAGACCATCATTTAACTGAACACTCCAATTCTTTAATTTAATAATAGTGTAGTTGGTTGAGGCACTATGCTACAGGCCGGAAGGTCGTGGGATCAAATCCTGATGAGGTCATTGGATTTTTTTCAATTTACCTATTCATTCGAGCCGCACTATGGCCCTGGTGTCGACTCAACCTCTAACAGAAATGAGAACCAGGATTATTCTTGGAATGTTCTTGGGGGTAAAGGGCAGCCGGTGCATAAGGCTGACAACCTTATCACCATCTATGAGCCAATTGTCTAGAAAATGTGGGAACCTCAATATCTCGCAACCCTATGGGCCTCCACAGCCTGTTACAGTTATACTTTTACTTACTTTTTACTTTTACTTATTAATTTGAAAATGCTATACATGCTAATGTTATATTGTGGCATACTTTCTCAAAGCAAGAACGTCGGAGCCAGAGAAACAGCTGTTGCTAGTGAATGACTCTGAAACAGCATCCGTTTCTATGCAACGGCACAAAACAAACAGCAGAACATCCTTTACTAGGCAGCAGATTCTTAATAAGCAAGTATACCAGAGTGATTGCTGAGTAATGGCTTCTCAAACAAACATGTTCGCATGGAAAAAATTGAACAGCAATGGGAGAATGGTGTTTTCTGTGCAGTCCAAGTTGAGATGTTATAACCAGGACATGTTTAGAAGTCAGTTTAGTTGGAAGGGAGCCACCATTCAGAGAGGACTTGAGCATGGAAGTAGAGGAGTAGCTATAGTTGGAACCATTACCGGGGAACTACTAGAGAAGACACTGCTGGCTGGAGACATAGCGTGTGCTCTAGTGCCTTTTAAATTGTCAAAAATCAGTGATGGCGCTATAATCAAATGTAGTTATGAGTCATATGTTAAAATGGTCAATAAATCCAATATACAATCCAAAACCCCATCGAGAGTCACATGAATCATAACTACACTTAAATATAGTGCCATTGCCAATTTTCACACTTTACAAATCTCTAACACACATGCTAAGTCTTTTCCAGCCCACAGTAGCAACTAGTAGTTGCGTGGTAATGGCTCCAACAATGGCTATTCTTCTGCTTCCATGCTCAAGCCCTCTCTAAATGGCAGCTCCCTTCCAACTGCGAATTCTTGCTCCAATTGTCGTCCTTATAACCCCTCAGCACGGACCACTGTAGAAAACAACGTTTCCAACAGTACCTCTGCTGTTGTGTATTTACTGTTGCCACAGGAACCTATTTGTCTGTGATCCTTGCCTAATTGGCTTTACCTGCTACGATATTAAAAATAATTAAAATATGCAAGTTTAAAAACTGTTGTTTGTTGGCCTTTCAAATAATGATATATCAGAATCTTCATTCAACGGCTGTTAATTGCTGTTTACAATTTCTTATCTGATATTTAAAATATATAGTTTTGTAGGCTATAAATGAGAAATTCCATGATATTAGTTTCTGAAATCATAGTACATTTTGTGTTCAGAGTAAGAAATTAATTTTTGTTTACAGTGAAGGTCCAGGTCCACAAGGATCCGGTTTCTTCACCGTGGACCCTGTTATCACCTATGGGACAGATGAAGTTTTGCTCTTAGACTGTATACAGTGTCAGACGGTTTTAGCCAAAAGTCTGGGCCCTTTCAGTACATGGGAAAACAAACTGAAAGTAACAAAAGAGAGTGGCTACAATATGATTCATTTCACCCCTATACAGGTATTGGAATACATTTGTTTTAGTATATGATTGTTTTATGAAGTCATGTTCAGTACTGTGAAAGTGAAGTGAAACACTACTTACGTACTCACAGAGCTGAGCCATTCTTGAGGAGCCATCAATTCTGCAGCTACTCGAGAATTTTCCAGCATTTTATGGAACCCGAAGGTTCATTACGGTGTTCACAAGAGCCCTACCTGGTCCGTAACCTGAGCCAGATCTATCCAATCCGTACCATCCCATCCTATCTCTCTAAGATCCATTCTAATATTGTCCACCCACCTATGCCTTGGTCTTCCCTGTGGTCTCTTTCCTTCCAGCTTTCCCACCAATATCCTATACGCATTCCTCATCTCCCCCATTCATGCTAGATGACCTGCCCACCTCATCCTCCTTGACTTGATCATTCTAATTATACTTGGAGAAGAGTACAAGTTATGAAGCTACTCATTAGAAGTAACACATTAGAGTCATTGAAATCTCAGTTTCACAACCATCAGCACTAAAATGCAAATATACATACACCACTTCAACAGACATCTACAACAGCGAGATACATTGACAACATTATAAGACAACGATAATATCTAGAAATGTCCTGCCTCCTCCACACCTAGTCACATAACTTTCACCACCTAAAAGAAGACACATTGTAATACACATTTACATATCTGTCACTCCACCTATTTATCTATTTTATCAGTTTCATGTATTTATTTCATTTTAGCATCCAGAATAAATAGTGATATTTTATTTATCACAGTTTGAATGTGAAAATTGATTTATTTTAGCTGAACAGTTCAACAGTGACATGCATATATTTATGTACCACCTGAGGATGATCAAATATGATTGAAACATGTTGTGGACATAATAAAACCAGTAGTAACATGTTTTAATATCAGCTTTATTGTTAACTGTTGTATCAATGGTCATAAAGTACCTTGTAATGTACAAAGTTATTCTGATTCATTAAATACTGTCACTTATTGGGAGGGAGGGGGGGGCGACTATCGATGATGTTTGGATTGGTGAATGGGCTTATTGACCGCTTATTCACACAACTCAAAACTACAAGCAGTTGCAGCGCCACCACTAATCTCCATAATTCACAAATCACCACAGCACCCATTATGCTTCTTTTCCAGTCTGCTGTGTCTTCACCAGCCGTTCCCTGGCAATGGCTTGTAACAGTGGAGATTTTTCAGTTTCACAAGCTGAGGTTCTGTCTTCACAGTCTCCCTTGCAGAACTGCCTAACAACTGACTCTGTCCCTTGCTTATAACATCTCAGCATGGACCACACAGAAACACCCTGTTTCCAACAGTAACTCTGTGAGATGTTGACAATGGCTGAGACAACCATGTAAAACTGTAACAACAAATGTTTTTTGCTCTTAGAGCGGGTATTACAGACAAGCGGGGAGCATGTTTGAATAATACCGGTGGAGACTCCCTTCATAGTGGGCTAACCTGGGCTAGTGATGATGGTACTATTGGAGGCCCTGAAAAGGGCTGTTTGACTGAAGCCCTATGAATCTCTTGCAATAGTCGCTAATCAATGCTGCTATCATTTAGGCCGTCTGGCTAGCAAAACTTCTTATGTTTTTAAACTGGGAGGAAATTTAATACCAGATATAAAGAACACGTTCATGACATAAGACACAATAACAGTAATACAGGATACTCAGAATACATATTAGATACAGGACATGCATACGGTACAATAGAAAATACTATGGACATCATAGCCACGAATAAAAAAGGACAATATTTAAACACATTTGAAAACTACCATATATACAGAACAACAAAGAAAAACATGCATATAAATAATATAAATAAAGAAATATATAACCCAATATTTCATGAATTACACACAATTTACACAGAACAACACAACACAACCCCACCACCTACCCCCACCACACTTATCCCCACAACACCATAACTCGACCAATAATATAAGAACGAAAACAGCACACACACATACACACATATCCAATGATACAACGCATGCAGACACAAGAGTAGAACACATCATAAGACACAGTGATACTAAACAGTATAATATTAACAACACGAAACCAATAGAAATCAAAACATAACATTGATATGTAACATTTTTGACGTTGCAGATATACACGCAACATTAGAAACATAAGAAGAACGACCCCCATATGGATGATTAATAATACACACGAATTTTAAAAATATGACATATGAGATAATAGGTTTTAACAGGTTTTAAACACATAAACTTTATTGTTATATAAGGATGTATACAAATTTAATATTATTTGTAAATGGACATATAAAGGCAAGCAGTGAAAAGGTTAACGGATCGATACACCTGAAGATGGCAGCATGCTGCCGAAACATGTAGTGTAGAAGTGGTAGAGGGGATTGTATGCACTTGAAGACTGTTAATATATAAACATTATGAATATGAATCAGTGCAACAGGATGCTAAAATACAACATACTCATACAGATGTTTGGAGGTAGGAACCCCAATTTACGATTTTTGAGAATAGCGGTGGATTTGAACATGAAACTGAGACAAATCTTGAATGGAGGAAATTTAACACTGACATTACTGACTTCAGACTGCTGAAAACCTTAAATTGAGGAACATTAAGTGAGAGTTTCATTGTATACTGTATTTCATTTCAAACCATTAAACGAGAACTTCATCATCATCATCATCATCATCATCACTGGCACGACAGCCCTTTGTGAGCCCTGGCCTTCCTCAGGATTGCTCGCCATTCTTCTCTATTCGATGCTACATTCCTCCAGTTCTTTACATCCAAAATTCTTATGTCCTGCCACACACATTCTTCCCATAGTTAGAGAACTTAATGAAGAAAAATAATCTATTTTGTTTACTCTTTTAGAACGTGATCATCCAAACTTAGAATTAATATGTTAGTTTTTGTAAATTACATAATATCAATTTATTGGAAACCCCAAATACAATTGAGCCTTCAAATATGAGGCCATTATTTCTCCATGAGGAGTGTCATTAATTTTGACATTTTGGGACTGCCGTACTTTTGTATTTTGAGGATGCCCTGTTGATTTACTCTTTAACAAGAACTGTAAGAATGCATCTTGGTGTTATTTCCTGTTACAGGAACTTGGTGATTCTAATTCCTCATACAGTCTCAAGAATCAACATAAGCTGAATCCTATATTTAACAATGGCAGCAAAGAAATTGATATCACTGATGTTGAAAAGTTTACAACAAAATTAAGGAATGAATGGAAGGTATGTCAGGCAAACATTTGAAGTAAATGTGATTCGCATAATTATGCACAGTAAAACAAGTAGTGAATTTGGAAAACTGAAAACCTGAAACATTTTTTTAAAGACATATAAGAAATATCTTCTTCACAACAAATATATATGAAGATTGTGACCAGTCAATTTAAAATTGTTGCATCACAAAAGACGAAAAGCTTCTGATTTTATAAATTAAAGAAAAGAAATACACACATTTTTTAAAATCATACACCCATTTCAATTCCTAGCCTTCTACTTTTTTATTTTGAAATCAGTTGAAGTGGAGGTACTGTTTCTACAGATTTAATTGTACTTTAAATGAACTCTGAGATAGTAATATTCCTCCTAGTCAAATTTTATTATGGTAGATCCTACTCATTTATATATATGTGTCAGCCCAGCTGATATATGAATCTGTGTGATGGAACATAGTGTTTTTTTCTGATTTTTCAAAACACTCCTCTACTAACAAGTGCAGATTTTGGTGTGCAGATGGCGAGGTGTGCTATTTGTCCATGTCCCTTGCCTGACATAGTTAACCCTCAGCATCCCCCAGAAAGATAGATTTGCATACAGTAATCTTGAATTGCCTGGGGATGATCTGCATGTGTTACTTTGATTTATTCACAAGAAAACTGATATCTTTAACATGTTTCTCTCAAATATGGTATTCTTTTCAGATAGTGAGCATCTGTGATATTGTTCTGAATCATACAGCCAATGAGTCAAAATGGCTTCTTGAACATCCAGAATGTACATATAACCTTGTAAATTCTCCACACCTTCGCCCAGCATATCTCCTAGATTGTGTTTTACATCAACTAACACTGGAAATATCTGAGGGCCGCTGGGAGTTCTCTGGAATTCCTGCAGAAGTCTCCTCTGAAGATCATCTATCTGTAAGTGTACCATTCCAAGTTCCTGATGTAACTCACTTACTGTTACATTTCATGTTATTTAGACAGTATTCTATTATGAGTCACATTTCTCTTGATTCAATGTAGGTGTCTTATTATATGTTTCTTTGTGTATTTAGTGTCCCTTGTCCAAGGAGTCCTGCCGACTGTCTAAGAGTAAGACACGGAAGTGAAATAAGCATTTCACAGGTGCCCTATGCTCAAAGTGTGAGCAACAGGAATAGATAGAATCAAATAGATGTATATAGTGACACTTTATAAACTGCATAGTTATATTGTGTCAAATGACAAGCTGATTTTGATTTATTCATGGCCCTGGGATACACAAGCCTCCTATACAGTGTGCACAAATAACCCTCTTCCTGGAGGGTTAGTGTGGATAATTCAAAATTCAGTCAATTTATAATTAAAATTTGTAGCAATGTTTTAATCATTGTAAAAGAAGCAGTTTTTGTATCTGGGAATGTGTCTAACCCTGCAACTTTTCCAAAACATGCAGGAAGGCAGAGTGAGATGGCTTATGTGGGATGAATAAACAGAAAGAAAACAACATTGTATTACCTGCATGCAAGTGATTCTGGAACTGAAAGAAATTAGGAACGAAGATATGAACAGTATTAAAAATAATGAAGGAAATTCACTAAAATTATGAGAATATAACAGAAATTGCTAAAGAATCAGTATTATTAGTACACCTGAGGAATCAAAACGCAACTGAAAGGAAGGCTGCAGATGGTGATAATATTCTTATTGTAGGCCCAGAAATCCAAGATAAAGCCAGTGATGTTGCACTGAAAATGGAAAATGAGCTTGACTGCTAAAATGGCTGGCTAAATATGTTCAAACAGTGATACAACACAGAATCACTGACAATGTTGAATGTAATTCTGTTGAAAAATTCCAGTAGAATGTGGCAACAATTCTGGAACTCTGCACAGTGTAGAATATATCCAATATGGACATATTGCATGACTGTATGAATATAATGTTCAGCCACAAGAATATTTCACTTCAGTGTCTTACTCTTAGACAGTCAGCAGGACTCCTTGAACAAGGGACATTAAATACACCAAGAAACAAAAATTTGAAACATTGAATAAGACAGCTATATTGAATCAAGAGAAATGTGACTCATAATGGAATACTGCACAAGGATAGGTGGGCTGTGTAGCTATGTTGCAATACAGTGGGGAGTGAAAGATATGGCAGCTTGAATTGGGCATGATTGAAGAGCTGGAGAGAGCTAGAAGGGCAAGAGGATGGCCCAGGTTAATTCCACAGGTTCACTTATTGCAGTATTGTGGAGAGTCTTGAGCTATCCATATATTATTGTGTTGACGAGAATGGAGTCAGCCCTGGCTGACAAGTCTGGAGTAAGTAATCCAGGGGGGAGGGAGAGAGATGGGTGCTGAAGAGAAACAGTGAGTTCCTTCATGTCCAACATGAAAGATCTTACATTGTTATCCTTACTGGACTCGAATAAGATGTATAGATGTGGATGACAGCATTATTAAGTGCTATAGACACAATGGAAGAGTGTGTTTCCAAGACAAACAAGGACTATCATGAACAGAGAAATGTTAAGTCCTATTTTCATACACATTGACATAACATATTGAGTGATATGAATTTTTGACAGTACTGCTTCATTACTGTTGAAGCCACATTTATGATTTTTATTTAGAGAAATTTAAGTACTTGTAATGGAAATTATATTTCTTCAAATTCTGAAATAGTGTGTAGTGTTTACTACCACTCCATTAGAATGCAGTCATAGTAATATCAAGTCCCATGCTGCCTAAGTATATCCACTGTGAAAACTGCATAATTTACATCATTTAAATTCAACTTTAGTATTTCTTACTCTGAAGTACTATGAGCTAACGATGTTTTACAGTGTAGTTATTCTTTGCAATGAATTATGTCTAAAAAAACATTTTGATGTTCTGTTAGGCCATCCAATCAACCTTGCTTGGCTACTTCTTGCCGCAAGTGAAAATACCAGAACTTTACATGTTGGACGTTGATAGTTTGGTTAGTGCATTCTACTCTATGGCTCGCACTCGATTACCTCCAGTAGCAGGAACTACACAGGAAAAGGGGCAACTTAAGATCATACCAGATAAGCAGTACCGTCGCCTGAAAGCTACTGTTGACATGGAACTAGCTCTAAGGCTGTATAATGTATACAGGTAGTGTATATAAAATTAGAGTTTCTTTTTGTACTTTCCCTGTTTTTTATAAGTAATCAATTAAAATTTTGAACTAAAGTTAAAATAAAAAGTGCATTCCTATGTCTTCTTCATTTACCCTCACTTTGAGTAACAGATTTTACTTTTTAATTTTTTGTTTTATGAAAGGATGGCCAAGTGGAAAGTACAATTGTAGAGCACAAGAGGATCTTCTGGTGTATAATACCATGTAGTCTCCTGAAAGTCAACTGACGTTCTGAAGGAACATGTCACCTCCATTTTCAGGGTTGAAGAATAAGTCAAGCAAGAAACCAGTGTAAAAGCAATTGGCAAGCAAAGCTTGCTTGGCTTGTCCTTCAATCCTGAAGAGGGGGGTGACATGTTCCTCTGAAATGTTGGTTGACTTTCAATAGACTACATGGCATTATATGCCAGAAGGTAAAATCTTCATAACCACTGCTATGAGAATCTCAAATCCTACATGCCAGTTATAATTGCTGCTTTTATTTGTATATGATTTTGTATTTTTGTTAATGACTATGTCTGCTACTTGTAAGGGCAGTAGAAAGTTGTATTACAGAAGTTGGTTGAAACAGTCTTTTATTGTTGTGCACTACTTCCCTCTTGGCCCACAGTGGCTGCATGGTCTAAATCATGAAATGTCTTCACCCACTCGAACACTGGGATCATGGGTTCGAATCTCACTCAAGGCATGGATGTCTGTTTGCATTTATTCTGTGTTTGTGAGTAGGTAGCAGCCTTGCTAGCGGCTGATCCCCTATTTAAGGAGTCCTACTGACTGTCTAAGATTAAGAAACTGAAGTGAAACAAGCGTTTCATGTATGTCCTAGGCTCCAAACGGGAGCAACAGGAATTGAAGAAGAAACGGATGACTTCCCTCTTCCATTATTTCAAATTGTTTGAACTTGAAAGGAACTATATTCTCCTACACTGTTACACTACACAAACAGTTACAGGATATGAGGTTTTTGTGTAGGCTTGACAACAGTGTTTTGAAATATCTGTTATTCTCTACCTGTAACAACAACATAGGTCTAACGTTTGAATTATGAGGTGTGTAAGAAATTGGGTGCATTTCTTTAAGGTTGTTTTGTTATAATTCAAACCTCACCTTCAGATGGGGCAACTATTTTCACAAACTGTGCTCTTACAACCAACTATTCCTTTTGATGCAGATAAAATCCCATTACTGAAATGTAAGTTACATTATGTTGGATTTGAGCTTCTCACAGCAGTCACCATGAAGAACAATATCTACTGGGATATAATGCCACATAGTCCAGTAGAATGCCACCACTTACTTTAAGAACAGAATTTAAATTTGGATGTAATTTGTCTAATCTGATGACAGTTATGAATTATTTATGTAGTGGAGTAGACTTTAAACAAGTGAATCAGTTAGTTGAATTGGGATTAATTTAATATGCCTTTAGGATAAAAGTGTAACACATGCAAGGGTGCCTCCTTATCCAAAGTCAGTTTTTATTGTACAGTTGATTCATGTCTGAGATGTTTCCTTGTATGTATCTAGGGGTGATTGCTTGGAAGAAGATACCCATCTACGCCGCTGTAGTGAAAATTTCAAGTCACATTTGGAGGAACTGAATCAGGCAATGTTTGATGAAATTCAGAACCATCTGCAGGCTGCTATTGAGAACTGTATAGCGGGTATGAGGTATTTCCGTGTGCAACATGATGGCCCTTGTATTAAAGAAGTCTCCATCAAGAATCCACTGGTACCCAGGTGAAGGAATGTTACTAATCTGTTCATGTTACAAATGTTCCACATGCTCTTCTGTTATGTGGTGTACTGTCCTTTATTCAGACTAATTGAGGGAAGGGAGTACAGATTATCCAAAATTACCTTATTTTCAGCACAGGTTGGATCAAGTGCTTCTTGCGCTAGGTTTATAATCATCATTTGAATCATTAGGAGTTGTCAGAAAAGATTCAGTCCTTACTTCCTCTGTATCTCACCACATTCCCTAGCGGCAGGTTGTAGAATATAAATGACTCCCAGGCTCTAGAACAAGCATGTAGAAACACTCAGTAGGAATGGTGCAAAGAGATAAAAGTTTGCTTCGCAAGTACCAGGATGTACAAAACAGTTCACTTCTTTATTAAACTTCAATGAATGGACTCTTATTATGAGCAGTTAGCACTCCTGCTATTCTGTATTTGGGAGATTATGGAATTTATTCTCAGCCTAGAGACAGGACATCCTGACTCATGTTTGCTGTGATTTTCCTTAGTTCTTATATGCAAATGCTGATATGGTACCTGACTTAGGCTACAGCCGCTTCTTTCCACATCCTTTCTAATTCAACACTCAGAATCATCCTACCATATGATACTGCATAATCACAGCAGCTGGAAAAGCATTGTTAAGCAAATAAAGAACAGATTCAATAAGTCCAACAAATAAGGAGAAAAAACAGGCACATGGATAGCCTCCAGGCCAATAATTCACTCACAGCTAACTTGGAATTCATTGTATTTAATTTAGAGAAAAACCTGGTGACATAATTATGTACATTTATTGTAGGGTCTACTGAATATTGCATCATGTCAGAATTGTAAAAGTTACTGACGTTATGGAGGAATTTGCTGCCGTCTTCAGGAAAGTCTTACCATTTCAACTTGGTGTAATGCTTAGAAAACTACAGTGAATCTGAATGCCATGAATATCTTTCAAGTATTGCATATGTGCGAGGGTCGCACTGAAAGTCATGAGCAACAATTTTTTTGTAAAGAAACATGCTTTATTATTGACAAACCAAATACACCAACTCAATATACAGACCTTTCTTTATTTTTCCACATAATTGCCACTTCTTTGTACACATTTCTCCCAGCATTCTGGGAGTTTGAAAATTCCCCTTCTGTAAAATTTCGTTCCAGCCATCCGAAGACACTGATGCACTGCTTCCTGAATCGCCTCCCCTGTCTCAAAACGTTGTCCACGCAGCTGATCCTTCACAAATCCGAAAAGATGGTAGTCAGATGGTGCCAGATCAGGGCTATAGGAGGGGTGTGGAAGAACTTCCCACCCCATCTTTGCAATTGCTTCCAATGTGAGGTGAGCAGCATGGGGGTGAGCGTTGTCATGCAGGATAATGATGTTTCATCCCAGATGTTTATCATGCAATGCACGACGGAGCTTGTGCAGCATCTGGACATAACGAGCAGCATTGATGGTTTGCCCAGGTTCCAGGAATTCGGCCAGAATAAAGCCCTCTGCATCCCAGAAGACTGTGCCCATCACCTTTGCAGCTGATGGCACTGTCTTTGCCTTCTTTTTTGATGGCAAATGCAAATGGTGCCATTCCATACTCTGCTGTTCCATTTTGTTTCAGGCTCGAAATGGTGAGATCAGCTTTCGTCACCTGTCACAATACATAGCAAAAGATCATCACATTCATACCAATATCTCGGCAGCAGTTCTGAGGTGATGGCTTTTCGCTGACTTTTGTGGTCTTCAGTCAATAACCGCGGGACCCAAGCGAGCACAAACTTTCCTATAGCCCAAGCTTTCAATCCTCTCCTGTACTGCACTGTGCCCTATTCCAAGTTTTCGGACTATTGTGTCCACAGTCACATGCCTGTCATCTTGAATGATCTCATCCACTCTTTCCTTGTTGCGTTCAGTTGAGGCTGTTCAAGGACGACCGCTCCAAGGCTCCTCTTCGATGCTGATGTTCCCATCTTTAAAATGTTTCACCCATCTTCGAACACTGCTCGCACCCATGCACACACTTCCATAAGCACGCTGTAGTCTCTGGTGAATTTCTGCAGCAGGGATTTCCTCTTTCACAAGAAATTCGATGACAACACGCTGGCGAAATGACATGTCGTTGTTGGCCATTTTGTTAGGAGCGATACTGGTCACGTGATGCAAGCTATTGATGTCACAAGACACTCAAGGTTAACACAACAGCTGGTTCCACCTACCACCATACTCTCTTTCGTCTGCTGTTCCCAGATTGCATGCAAAAACGTTGCTCATGACTTTCGGTATGACCTACGTATTACAATGGTAATTGAGAATATGTGAGTAACCAAGTAGCTTATTGGTTTTAAACCACTTATTATTCATATCTTCAGTTGATTCATAATTATGAATGTCACCAGATATATTCTGTACTCTACCTAGATGAGATGTTTAAGATGCATCAGGATGAAACAAGTTGTAACTTTTTCTGACATGCCTCTATGTATTGTATTTATATACTAGTGTATGTATTTTCTGGTTGGCCTGTTTTAAACTTGTGTTAGTATTTATTCAGTATTCCAGACATCCACAAGATGGATACAAACTTGTCCTCACTCAGTGATATGACTGCAGTATAAATCAACCTACTTGTACTCTAAACACAGCTTTTTTTAGTTCAGAGCATCATTCATCATCAAATTTCCACAGGGAAATGTAGTGAACCAAAGGATATTCATGAACAGCTGTTGACTGTATGGTGATGCCACATTTTCGAAATACCAAGTGAAATACTGACCTCAGCAGTTCAAGTAAGGTAGAGAATCCATCAACATGACCTCTACCCTGGAAGGTCAATTGGAAGTGACAGCTCTAGAAATACATCAAGAATTGAAGATTAGGCCATGGAGGACAGCTGTTTGAAGATGTCTGCAACTGCATGAGAATGTAGTTTTTCAGAACCATCTGTTTTGAAGACAAGGCCATGCAAGACAAGCCTTTGAAGGTGTCTAGAACTGCCTGATAATGTACTGTGTCAGAATCATCTATTCTGTTCATCCCCCATTATTGTCAGGAGCCAATTCTAGCCAATTCTGCCTCAGAAGCAACGAAGGATTCATTTTTCTGAGGAGAATTTTAGACCCTATGTGAAGCAGGTCCAGAAACATTTCTCTCAAGAATCATTACAAATAAGGAAATATGGGATCCTGAAACAAAACAGGAGTACATGCAATGGAATCATCATGGATTTCCCACTTCATGAAATGCAGGACACCACTCTTGACTGCAAAGTTCATGACCATGTTGTTTAAGGATTTTGAGGGAATTCTGCCTATGGAATATTTGCCACACAAGGCAGAAACCGTTAATGATGGCTATTATGCTGGGCTTCAGAAAATGAAACAGGCTGTCAAGAAAAACTGTCAGAGAAATTTACAAAAGGTATCCTGCTTCTTCATGACAATACTTCTGTACACAAGTCACAAAATGCAATTGCTGCACAAGTGACTGTGGCTTTTAGGAATTAAACCATCCACACTGCAAACCAGACTTTGCCTCCAGATATTATTCCTCACTTTGGAACCTGAAGAAACGCTTGCATGGACTTAAGTTTTATAGCAACAGTGAATGTATAAGTACTATTTCAGAGTGGTTTGAGGAGCAAAGCAAATACTTCTATTTTTTTCAGGGATTTCTTCTTTGCCCATGAAATGAGAAAGAATGTTGAACTCAAGGACAGCTATGTTGAGAAAGAGTTCCATCTGACCTACTTAAGGGCTAGGTAGATTATGTATCTCATGTTCCTCTTGTCTAAGTGGTCGTTGTTAGTAAGGAGATTGGTTTGATTTTTGTTTCCTTTTGCTGTACAGGTATTTTACAGACTATGGTAGTCCTAGTGGGCTGGAAGAGTATGAGAAGTTGATGTATTCATCAGATGCCTGTTTCATTATGGCCCACAATGGATGGGTCATGAATGATGATCCATTACAGAACTTTGCTGCTCCAAGCTCCAACGTATACTTACGCCGTGAGCTCATTGCTTGGGGTGATAGTGTCAAACTGCAGTAAGTGTTTTATTTTAAAGAAACAATAAGGAGTAATGGTGAGGATAGAGCACTATTGATATCAGGGGTTCACACTCATGTACAGAGAAGACACAAATCGCAGTATAATATTTGCCATGTTGTGATGAAATAACTAAATGAATTTTCAAAGAAGAATGCCTTACAGTTTCCTACAATAATTATTAGGTAAATTCTCTTATATACTGTGAAACCTGTCTGAAGAGGGCCCTCGAGTAAATGTAAAACTGTTTTTATTAAAAGTTTCCATGATCCCATGAATACAAGCAGGAATTAATGTAAAATAACCTGTAATAAATGGAGAATAATCAACAAAGGAGTTGAAAGGTAATACAAGAATATAACATCAGCAGTCTGCCTGAATTTTCATTATTTCCATTAATGTAATTGTGTAAAAAATGTCAAAAAGTAAAGGTATCCCTGTAACAGGCCGTGGAGGCCCAATGGGTTGTGAGATGTTGAGGTTCCCATATTTTCTAGACAATCTGCTCATAGATGGCGGTAAGGTTGCCAGCCCTATGCATCAGCCGCCCTTTACCACTAAGAATATTCATGGTACTCATTTCTGTTAGAGGCTGAGTCGACCCAAGGGCCATAGTGTGGCTGGAAGGATTAGGTAAACCGCAAAAAATCCAATGACCTCATCAGGATTCAATCCTGCGACCGTCCGTCTTGTAGCATAGTGCCTCAACCAACTACGCTACCACATAATTGTATACTATACCATATGTTCTGAAGTGGAGATGAGAAAGAACATTCCAGTCACAGATAGGAAAACTTTATGCTTGAGTTTTTGCAAAGCATATACAGGATACTTTTACTAGAGAAAGTGGAAAATTAAGAATAAAGAGGAATGAAAAGAAATGAGAATGTATACTGGTCAGTTAACAATTTAGTCTACTGCTTCTTGTGTTATGGATTATAAGTACATGCATTTATCTGTTAAATAATATGGAAACTTTTTTTTCATAAGTAAATGCTTGATTAAATGGAAACCAGTCAGATGGAGGGGGGTACCAAGTTCCTTGGGAAACTCTTATGAGGAGGTTTTACTGTGTGCTTAATTTTTGACAGGTATGGTGAGAAGCCAGAAGATTGCCCATTTTTGTGGCAGTACATGCTAAAGTATGTTGAGCAGACTGCACAAGTGTTTGATGGAATAAGACTAGATAATTGTCATTCCACACCAATAGCAGTTGCAGAGGTAATAAGTAATGTACACATCCAGAAACATTAATATGTACAGTAATCATATTGTGCTTTGCCATCTGTTGAAAATATAAGCATTCTTCTTAACATCCTACTCTCAGTAATACCAGCATGGTGGTTATGTGAACTTCTGATATGGGAACAGTAATAGTGTTTCTTAATAAAGTGTCATGAAATTTTGTCATGATAAACATTAAAAATACATGTTACTTTTGAATAGTATCATGAGTTTTAGAATGTGAAACAACTTAACACTGGACATTGTGGTTGAGTGGCTAGAATATGTGATTCATATTCAGGAGGTCCTGGATTGAAATATTGGCCTAACAGAGGTTTGCCATTGTTTTCCTTGGTTCCTCCAGGCATGCCAAGATATTATATCAAATTAGGCCATGATTGCTTCCTTCCACATCCTTTACAATTCATTATGCACCAGTCATCCTACCATTAAACCCTATATAAATTGTCTAATACATAGCTGATCTACTCAGCCATTCATTCATTCATTCATTTATTCATTCATTCATTCATTCATTCATTCTTTATTTTTCCATATATATCCATACAGGTTAACAAACCAGGATGTGGAAATAGTCCTTTTGAATACAGATACATCAACATGCATATACAAAATTGCACAAGTCAATAAAACAAAGACACTTACATTGATCTATAAATATAGATAATATTATAGGGCAAAAGAATTTAATAGATTTCATTTAATAGACATACTTAAAAAATAACCTACTATAAAACTTGTATTTACACCATTTCATATAAAATAACTAAAACAAATATAGTAAAAAATTACACACATATGACCCATTATGTTTATAATATCAGCATCATATTTAACTCCATAAATCCATACAGTATATACAGTATATACTGATAGGATGTTTAACAAAACAGAAATAACGTAAGTAAATAAAACAACATGACAGCCATGCAAAGTCTATAGTGGGATTTCAGTATGATGGGAAAAATCATTGAATTCTAGCATCTAGCAGCTACAGGATTGAAGATAGGTCATAAACATACCTAACCTTTTTTGGGGGGGGGGATTATATCTGAAATTAATATATGGTGGTGTCTGGCATAAATGCATTAGTAATTTGCACAGTTATTATTTTAGAATTCTCACTAGCCCTATTTATACAGAAGGAAGCATTTGAAGGAAAGTAATTGACATAAGTTCTTCCTACGGCTTCTGGTCTTCTTTATTTCCGCCATCTGCTTTTGTTTGGAAAAGTTGCAAATATAAAAGCCATTCATTTCAAACCACTAACAGTGCATGGTTAGTTTTCAAGAAACTGTCATGTTGCTATTATGTTCCTGTTAATTGCAGTACCTCTTAGATGCAGCAAGACGTGTGCGGCCAGACTTATACATTGTTGCTGAACTTTTCACCAATTCTGATCAGAAGGACAATATCTTTGTCAACAGACTGGGCATCTCATCCCTAATCAGAGGTACTGTGAACCAGAATATTTTCATTCATTATAAAACTATATAATTGTTTATTGTGATAATGTTGACTGTCCTGACCCTCAAGAACTGATTTGTTAAGAAATACATTTTAAAAAATGTAATAATTTAATTGTATAATTTGAAATGTAATTTCATATTTGTACTGAAAATGTTTATGTATGTTTACATGTTACTATGTAATGTTAATAAAAATATCAGCTAAGGTGATTTTCTGACAATACATTTCAATTCAAGGATAATTATCATGCTGTCTGCCAAATATAATTGTCAGAGCCTTCATCCAGTTTTTGATTTGTTTTTACAGAGGCAATGTCTGCTTGGGATTCTCACGAAGAAGGTCGGTTAGTTTATCGTTATGGTGGTGAACCTGTAGGAGCATTCTTTCAGCCATCCCTTCGGCCACTTGTTCCATCCATAGCTCATGCATTGTTCATGGATCTAACTCATGATAATCCAAGTCCAATAGATAAACGCTCAGTGTTTGACTTACTGCCAAGTACCTCTCTTGTATCCATGGCTTGTTGTGCATCAGGAAGTAACAGGGGCTATGACGAACTTGTTCCACATCATGTAAGTTTTTCTTGTGTTTACAGATTAAGCAACTTCATAGCGTCTCCTTAGTCTTCAGCATGTAAGTTTATAATTTCCTTCCTCTTTTGGCCATCTATCTTCATCCATTCTCCATACATTCTTCTTCTATCTCTTTGTGTACACAGTAATCTATTCAGCTAAACTACTGATCATATGTTTCTTACATATTTCAGTATATATTTATTTCAGTTATCTTTTATATCCAGCAGAGAATCTGAATTCCTATGTTTGTGTCCTTTGTTTGTTCCAGTCACCCTATCACTATCATATTCTTTATCAGAAGTTTGACCGCTGTTTTGTATAATTTGAGATATGTACTCCTGGACAATATTTTACTGAAGTGTCTTAAGTCATTCTACTTATTATTGCTGTTTATTTTCCAAAGCTGTCTTGTTGTTTGAATTATTGTCGTTTAAGTTTATTGAGCATTAATACTTAATTTAAAAAAATCTGTATTGAAGTCACCCATATGAGAAAAGAAGAACTTGGGTTGCTTGAACACTGGAATGAGTCCCTTTGGGGTATGGATGTAGGCATTTCTCTGCATTATTCTGTAACAGCAAATACCCCAAAAACATCTGATCTGCCTTCCAGTGAGTTTTATTATTTTACTTAATAAAGAATTTTTGAAGCTCTACAATGGAGGTCAAAGCTCACATTGGACTGTAGTGCCAAGATAAAAAATGCAGTCAGGGAAATTTGTTTTTCCGTCATATAGTCTCTAAATGACTTATATAGTTTTAAGGCGCGTCCACATTACTCGTGCTCGTTCTCGTGTGACTTGCTATGCTCACGAGTAATGTGGACGATATGACAAGTCACGAGACAAGCAAATTTTAAATTTTTAATTTAAAAACTATAGCCAATAAATTAAAATACAACNAAGTTCGTATAGCAACAGGCGTGACCAGAGTGGTTTGAACGGCTGTTGTACTGCGATGTGGAAAGCAAATGGAAAAACTACCACATTATCACTTTTCCTGGATAGTCTCTTTCCAAAAACAGAAGATCACAGTGGAGGAACTGTTTTGGAAGAGACTGTGGACCTGTCATCTGACAGGTCAATCAATCAATCACAATGGAGGTCAAGGCTCACATTAGACTGTAGTGCCAAGATAAAAAATGCAGTCAGGGAAATTTGTTTTTCCGTCATATAGTCTCTAAATGACTTATATAGTTTTAAGGCGCGTCCACATTACTCATGCTCGTTCTCGTGTGACTTGCTATGCTCACGAGTAATGTGGACGATATGACAAGTCACGAGACAAGCAAATTTTAAATTTTTAATTTAAAAACTATAGCCAATAAATTAAAATACAACTGCAGCCTATACACACTACGAGTAAATATACAGATCCTCACGTGCCGAAGCCTGGCAAGCAGCTGAAGTAGCGTGGACAAAAAGTTATGAGCACAAGTAAAAGCCAGACAAGTCTCCCAACGAGCACAAGCCTGGCGAGCACGAGCACAAGTAATGTGGACACGCCTTTACACATACTGTATAACAAGGTATGCGCGTTTTTATATAGATAGGTGTGACAAGTGCCTCAGTCATGTATATTTAATTTCTCTTTGAGGTTTTATAAATTTGTGGACAATACACTGTTCATCCTGCATGGCAGTGAAACCCATGGCTGGACTTCTAAAGAAGAATAAGTTCAAACCCTTCCTACATCCTTAAATGAATGAAAAAAAGAGATCAGTTATACCTACCTGTTGTCTTGTATGGTTCAAATTTTTGAAGTAAAGCCATCCCTGTAACAGGCCATGGAGGACCATAGGGTTGTGAGACGTCAAGGCTCCCACATTATCTAGACAGTTGGCTCACAGATGGCTGTGAGGTTGTCAGCCTCATGTGCTGATCACCCTGTATGCCCATGAAGATTTGTGGTACTCCTTTCTGTTAGAGGCTGAGTCAACCCTTGGGCCATGATGTGGCTGGAAGTATTAGGTCAATTAAAAAGTCCAATAACCTCATCAGGATTCAAATCTGCAACCTTCTGGCTTGTAGCACAGTGCCTCAACCAACTACACTACTGTGTGCCATAATTTTGGGGAGAGGTTATGATACTGTTGTTTGGATTGAGCTTGCTCAGAATGGGTTCAGATCTGAGTTCTTTTGTGGTGTGAATTAACTTACACTTCTCATTATACCACAAGGAGAGGAGAGAGAGAGTTACAGTTGTAATTGATAATGGCTTGATATCAGCATGATACTGGGTAAGTTATAGTTATAATGATATATTTTCACAAATTTAAATTAATTGCCACAGATTCATGTTGTTGATGAGACACGGGAATATGCTGAATGGTCAGATGACTGTTCTGTTGGTGTGAACATCCAGTCTGGAATCATTGCAGCAAAAAGAGCTCTTAACAAACTTCACTTTGAGCTAGGTTTGGAAGGATTCAGTCAGGTGAGCATGTCAAAATCTTATTGTATGTGTGTGTATGATAGGCTTGTTAAGACAAGTGCTCATGTACTTTTCTTAGTGGTACTGTGAGCTCTTTACTGCCAACAGCCCTTTTGTTTTATATCATAGGATGGGGGAAGACTGAGTCCCTTGGTACTTGTTATATATGGCCTATTGTACCAGCCACAGATGACAGATGAGAGAAGTGGAGCATTTGGTGAATGAGAAGTGGTAGAGGAAACCAAAGTATTCAGAGAGAACCTGTCACAATGCCCTTTTTTCCACCAAAGAATCCATGAACATATATGGGATCTAACTTGGGCTGCCACAGTGAGAAGCTAGATACTAATTTCCTGGCCTAAGCCCTGCCACAGAACTACCTGCTAGAAATGCTAAGCTGGTAGGATGTAAATGCCCACAGTACTTTCTCCAAATGACCTTGAAACAATAGAGTGTATTTATTATGAAAGTTTGTTCTTCCCTCCAAACATTGATATGTCATGTATTGACAAAAATGCTATTCTGCGTGATTAACAATGTGCCAGTCACGTTGGCTGTTGCAGTTTCAACATAAATGACCCAAGTTGATGTAGTCAGTTTGTGGTGAGCAGAGAATTAAATGCACTTTCATATATTCTTTGTGTGATGTGCATAACACATATGTGTTCCAACTCTAAAACTACTCAACACATTTTCATGAAATTTGTTATGGGGATTGGAAGGTGTTCTGCACTGAAATTTGCATGTAAGTTTATCCCACAAGCATACTTCAAAGGCTCTAGAGTATCCATACATTTGGTCACCATTACCTGCTTGGATGTCTGTAATATGCTGCTGCATGAGAGTAAATTAATTTACTTATGGAAAAAATACAGTATATCTGTATGGAAATGTTGTAATAATTTTCAGGCCACTATTTTGAAATCAATAAATTAGTCTTATGAAGGTATGAGATTTTTTTATTGCCTGACACTTCTTTGTTATTAGACACAAATGTATGAAACATTCATGCTTTCTTCTGTGCACTTGGGGAAATTTGTTTGTTGCCACTGGCAGTGCTCAACTAAGTGACGAGATGGTGTTGTATATTACAGATCAGGGAATGTTTGTTATCAAAACCTTTTACTCTTCTAGTGTTGCTGTGACAAGACAGTGTCATCAGGAGTTTTCTGTATATGTTGCTCTGTCAAGAAACAATTTGGCAGATTGCTAACAGTTTGAAGAAACATGAAGTGCATGTTATAAAAGTTCAAAGAAAAATAAACATAGCACATTTATTCATATGGAAGAAGTTGTCAGTGCAGCATAAAAGACAATAACAAGAAATCCAAGAAATTTATATGACATTTGGCACAACAGACTGGGGTCTCAACCAACATGGCATGGAAAACATGTCATGATGACTTGTCATTCTTTCTATATAAACTGCCATGGTCAGAAGATGGAATAGTGAGACTTTACACTTTGCAAGGGAGAATGTAGAGCACTATTGGAGGACAATCCAGGTATCTTCAATGTCCATGGTTCTCTCATAAGAAACCTTTCCCCTTGGATGGTTACATTAAAAAAACAAAATCTGATTTGGGCCACAGCCAGTCCAAGGCTTGCTATTGCCATCCATAGACAGATGCAATATGGTATGCATTGTTAGGGATGGGAATATTCAGTCCTGTGTTCATCAATTGTACAGTCACTTGTAATGTTTACCACAGTCTGCTGAGTATGAATTAGCCCCACTCCTGATGGAATATGGCATTCCAATGAATCCAGTCTGGTTTCAACAAGATGATGCCAGATCTCACACCACCAGTGCCATACTTCTCTTCTTTGCATTTTAGAGGAGAGAGAGTCCAGTTGAACTGGTTCCCTGTACTATTTGAGGAAAGATTTGCAGGGCTACTAACCTTAGTGGACATAAACCCATGAGATTATTTTCTGTGGAGGTACTTGAAGGATGGGGTGTTTCAGAAATTTTGAAGTGTCAGATAATAAAAAGCACCGTTTATTTTGAGTAAATAAAATTAACCCTAGAAATGCTCACTTTAATTCCTACAATGCTAATCTGACAATTTAGGCTGTCAGAGCTGCTCTTCTTTCATAGGTAATGTACACAAGAGCTCCCTCAGAAATACAGACACAGGGAAAAGTTTCCTCAAGATGTTCTAGAAAAGAAAGGAAAAATGCTGAACACACTAGAAACCTTCCACATATATGAATTAACTAAGCAAAACCTACAAATGAACGAAGCTTTAACTGATAGTTAAAACCCAATTTATGATATCCTAATAAAAACAAATCAGACACAAGAAATATAATACATCCCAAAACCACCTACTTACCTTCTCAGAACACCCCCCCCCCCCC